CCTGTCACACACAGAGCAGGGTGGATCAGGGGGTTTGGGCTCTGCCACAGTCACGCTGCTCCAGGGGCCAGGAGGCCTCGTGGCTCTGCTTGACACAGGGGCAGTGAGGCCTCGCTGCTCCGCTGATCCCGATGCTAGGAGGCCTCGCTGCTCCACTGATCCCGGTGCTGGGAGGTCTCACTGCTCCGCTGATCCTGGGGCATGAGGCCTCGTGGCTCCGCTGATCCCGGGTTCGGGAGGCCTCGCGGCTCCGCTGATCCCGGTGCTGGGAGGCATATTACCCTTTACAAGATAGGATAGAGGCCTGGTGCACAGGTGGGGGCCGGCTGGTTTGCCCTGAAGGGTGTCCTGGATCAGGGTGGGGGTCCTGCTTGGGTGCCTGGCCAGCCTGGATGAGGGTATGATGGCTGTTTCCAGCTGGTCACACCCCCTTCAGGGTGGGGGTCCCCACTGGGGTGCCTGGCCAGCCTGGATGAGGAGATGATGGCTGTTTGCAGCTGGTCACACCCCCTTCAGGGTGGGGGTCCCCGCTGGGGTGCCTGGCCAGTCTGGGTGAGGAGCTGAGGGCCGTTTTCAGGCTGGCGGGCGACTGAAGCTCCAAACCTCTCCTTTTTTTTTTTTTTTTAATTCTTCGATTTATTTACCTTCTATGGCTGTCACTGGAACTGAGAGCTGGCTTTCTCTCTGAGGCTCGGCTCCAGCTCTGAGACCTCAGCTGCTGAAAGCAGGTATCTGGTTTGTTTGGGTTCTATAATCGAAACACTGTTTCACCTCCAGCTCTGAGGCCCGGCTGGCTGAAAGCAGGTTTCTGGCTTTTTTTTTTAGCTTCTATAATTGTAACAATGTTTCTTAAACTGAAAGCTCAGAGGCCGGCAGCGGCAGGCGGGGAACATTGGCTTCCTCCATCACTAAAGCAAGCCTCCTGTTCGCTTCAAGCTGCCTGGCTTCCGGCCGCCATCTTGGTTGGCAGTTAATTTGCATATCTCGCTGATTAGCCAATGGGAAGGATAGCAGAGGTATGGCTAATTACCATGTTTCTCTATTATTAGATAGGATAGACTAGAGGCCCAATGCACAAAATTCGCCTCCCTCCCTTCCCCCAGCCAGCCCCGTCCCTTGGTCGAACTCCTGGTTGATGGGACAATTTGCATACCATGCTTTTATTATATAGGATATTGTTTGTCATAAATTCATTAATATTGGGTAATTATAATTAATATTAATTGTCAAGTTATCTGAATTGTTTTTCTTTGTATCACTTTTATTAAAATTATAAATGCTTCAATTAGTTGTGCTAAAAAGCAATGTTCAATATTTAGCATGATTATTCAACTCTCACTAGACTGGAAAGCAGTGGCCTCAAACCTCTCTGGAACCAATCAAGGAGACAATGCTTCTCCCTGGGCCTTGTGTTCTGGGCCCATGGTAGCAGTGTTAGTACTGTTAACTTCTGACCCATTTTTGAGGCACATTCTTCCCTATTCTTGAAGGATAACACATGTTTAAAACTGAATAGCTCTGCTGGCCCAACCAATAGAATCCCAGAAGTCCAAGAGCCTGCCTTTATTTCATCTCATTTGTGTCCTCTTCAGTCCAAGCTGGTAGCATTTCTGCTGGTATAAGATCCTCAAAAATCTTGTTCCTCCATGCAATTCATAGTGGTGCAAGCCATCCAAGAGTCCCCTAAAAATCTCTCCTGGATAAACCATCTCTATTCCATCTCTCATTCTGTTGAGATGACTGATTGGCTCAAAATATCACATGCCCATAATCTCTTTAGCAAATGACTGCCCAGTTACACCCAAACCTGGGTAGTCTCTCCAGAACAAGCTTTCTCCTTTTTTTGCAATATGGATAAGCTGAGTATTTTCCAAAATCTTCAACTTTTGGGTTCTATATTTCTTAATAACTTCAATTTATCTCTCCTCTCACATTTTACTATAAGTAGCAAAGGGAAATCAGGCTGCATCTTCAACACTTTGCTTAGAAATCTCCTGAGATAAATATTTGAGCTTATCACTTACAAGTTCTACTTTACACAAAACACTAGAATACAACACAGCCAAGTTCTTTGCCACTTTATAACAAGGTTCCCTCCCTCCAGTTTCCAATAACATGTTCATTTTCATCTGAGAGCTCATCAGAAGCACCTTTAATGTATGTCTACCAACATTCTGTTTTTGATACATGTATATATCTTTAAGATGACAGCACCTTTTTCTATAGTTCTCTTCTTTCTGAACCCTCACCAGAATTGCCTCTGACATCTATACTAAGGCAAACCAGGTTTTTTCTAGCATGCATCTCAAAACTCTTCCCATTTCCCAGTACTAAAAGGTTTACTGGAGTTGACATAACAAAGTAGCAGAGGATGGGTGGTTTAAACAACAAAAATGTATTTTCTCACAATTCTGGAGGCTAGAAGTCTGAGACAAGCAACCCGAGTCTGAGTTAGCAGTATTGGTTACTTGTGAGACGTATCTCCTTGCCTTGAAGATGTTCATCTTCTTTGTTTCTTCACATGGCTACCCTTTGGTTTATATCTGCGTTGTAATCTCTTCTTATAGGGACAACAATCAAATTGTATTAGGGGCCACCCTAACTGACCTAATTTTAACTCAATTACCTCTTTAAAGGCTACATTTGTAAATACAGTCCCATTTTGACGTACTGGGGTCAGAACTTCAATATATAAATTAGGGGTGGAGGGAGACAATTCAGTCCATAACACTTAGGCATAAATCTAGTAAGAAATGTGCAAGATCGATGTAAAGAAAGTTTTAAAATGCTACTTAGAAAAAGAGAAAGCTATCTGGAAGAACATATAAGAAAAGGTTAAAGTGACTATCTTCAAGGAGAACTGGAAATCTGGGAACAGGGATGGGATGAAGACTTACTTTTCATTGAGTAAGTTAGTTCCTCTATAATTTTAATTACTATGTGATGCACATGTGTGTGTATATGTATGCATGTATAGGTTCAGGCTTAATTGTATACTATGTCATTAGCAATGCTACAGGTAACAACGCTAATGGATTTTAATGTTAATATTGTTGGAAGAGTATTCTTGAGTACTGAATTCAGGGATATTCAGATATTTTGTTTTTTTCTGTTTAGGAAGAGCAGGAAACTGCAATGGATTCACCACCTTTTTTGGAGTTACAAACTTCTTAGAGAATCTGACTAAAGCTACATATGCTCTTCAAAAAATATAAACATATTTATATTTGAGGGATTCTATTTTGTGACCCAACACAGCAATTTTCTACTTCTTGCTATATAAACCCTCTGCACTACTGCAGTTGTCTAGAGTCATTATGTCTTATGTTTTATAGATCCATATAATCCAAACTATTTAGTAAAAGAATGCTCAGGTAAAGTTTACTGGAATATTTACTTTAGTGATCATATCTTAATTTGTGTACCTCTGCCAGCATTTCTGTCTGGGAGAAAGTTGCCCCTCCAGCTCTCACCTGATGTCAGATACTTCAGTTTCTCCCCATATAGTCCCTGGTTGCTTTCAAGTGCTGCCCTAATGCTGGAGCTCAGAAGGAGCAAGTCCCAGTAAGTGTGCACAGGGCCTTTTGAGGAACTGCATGGGACCCCAGCCACTCTCTGCCTCACTCAGCTACAATCCCTGCTCGTTTTTACAGGCAGAAGTTATGGGGATTTCTCTTCCCAACACTGGAACCCTGGGCTGGGAAGCCTGGTGTGGGGGTGGGACCCCTTGATCCTCAGGGGGAACCTCTGCAGCTGAGATATTCCTCCAATTTTTACCCACCACACCTGGATGTGCAACCAGTCCATTCTGCGCCTCCACTCCTTCTACCAGCCTTTTTTTTTTTTTTATATAATTTTATTGATTTCAGGGAAGGAGAGGGAGAGACAGAAACATCAATGATGAGAGAGAATCATTGATCGGCTGCCTCCTGCACGCCCCCTACTGGGAATCCAGCCTGCAACCCAGGCATGTGTCCTCGGCTGGAATAGAACCTGGAACTCTTCAGTCTGCAGGCCAACGCTCTATCCACTGAGACAAACCAGCTAGGGTTCCTTCTACCAGTCTTGATGTGGCTTCTTCTTTATATTCTTAGTTGTAGGGACTTCCATTCAGCTCAGTTTCAGGCGGTTCTGAATCATGGCTGTTCTGTAGTTTAGCTGTACTTTTGATATGGTTGTGGAGTATGAGAGCACAGCATTTACCTACACTACCATCTTTACTGGAAGCCCACTCATTCATTCTAGACTTTTTTTTTTCATCAGTACCTACTTCTCTTATTAAACTAACCAGGAATGTTATACATATTTAGATGTAAAAAGAGCCACAAGATAATTAAAGTACATCTTACAATCTTGTTCATTTCAAAAAAGCTTTCACCATTTACAAAAAGAATTAGATTATCTAAATTAATTACAAATCCTATCCAAACTTATTAAGTTTTACTAAAATTCAGAAATTTCCACAGGATAGTTAATATTATTCACTTCAATACAAAATATTAGCAAGGGGGAAAATGATGAAAACTGGTAAAAATAATACAGGTATTTGGCATGAAAGTAGGTATCTATGAGAGTGCATTAGCTCAACTACTGCTAGTTTAAGCAAAAAAAAAAGGGGGGGGGGGGACTGTGGAATACACTGCTAGGACCACAACACAGCTGACCTTGGGAAAAACTGGAGCTAGGATTTCTTAGGCTGTCAGGAATCTTCCTATCTCAGCTACACCCTATGTGGCTTATTTCTGACTTTGTAGTAAAACACCAGGAAAGGAAAAGTAGTCTCCTCAAATCCTAATTTTAAAATCTTGGTAATGGATTCAGATTGGCCTAGCTTAGGCTGTGTGCCCATCTCTTGGATTAATCACTGTAGGTGGAGCAGGAAGAGAGAAAGGAAGGTTAAAATGATTGGCAGTTTGTGTATTTTCGGAAGGCCTATTTACCAAAAGATGGGACTAGCACAGACTTGTCTACTGATATAATCACCATGAGCCAGGCAACCACTCTAATTTGTTTCTACTAATGATACACAGAACTCTTCAACCAGAAGAACATTAAACATTACTACTAAGCTACTCAAATTTAATTCAGCAGTGACTGCAATTTTCTACTGTCAGTTGAAGAAATCCCAAGAAGAAGAAAAAAACCCTTATTCCTATAACATATCAAGAGATCTACTTCTGGCCACTTCCAAATCTAATTTCTTGCTTTGCGAGTTCTTTAAGTAAATGATAAATTTAGTTTTATAGCTATGTTGTTTTAAATAACCTCAAAAATTTCTAGAGAATTCACAAAACAAATTTTAATTAATTTTTTCAAGTATACCATAAATACACCAAAAACATTTTTGCTTTTCTTTTTTAGTTGGTAAAAATAGGCATAAGAAGTGAGGCAAGACAGTCTTGCAATCCTTAATATTAAAAACCTGAGGCCTACCTAGCAAGTTTGGCTCAGTGATTAGAGCGTCAGCCAGTGGACCAGAGGGTCTTGGGTTTGATTCCCCGTCAAGGGCATGTACCTCAGTTGCAGCTTCAATGCCCGGTGGGAGGCAACCAGTCAATGTGACTCTCTCACATCGATGTTTCTCTGTTTCTCTCTCTTCCCACCCACCATTTTACTCTCTCTTTAAAAAAAAAATTAATGGAAACAATACCCTGGGTGAGGATTAAAAAACAAAACAAAAACTTGAGTCCTAGCTAGTTTGGGTCAGTGGATAGAGCACTGGCCTGCGGACTGAAGGGTCCCAGGTTCGATTCCGGTCAAGGACACATGCCCGGGTTGTGGGCTCAATCCCCAGTGGGGGGCGTGCAGGAGGCAGCTAATCCATGATTCTCACATCATTGATGTTTCTAGCTCTCTCTCCCTCCCCCTTCCTCTCTGAAATCAATAAAAATATATTAAACAAACAAAAACAAAAAACGTGAGGCCAAGAGTCTTAAGGACTGGAAGCTGTTATACTGGTTTATGAAACAAAAGATTATTAGGAGATACCAGTTACCCTAATGTACTGATATTCAGAATTTTTTTAAAAAGTGTTTTTATTGATTTTAATATGTTTGTTTTTTGTTTTGTTTTGACTTCAGAGAGAGGAAGGGAGAGGGAGAGATGGAAACATCAATAATGAGAGAAAATCACTGTTCGGCTGCCTCCTGCATGCCCCCTAATGGGAATAAAGCCCAAAACCCAGGCATGTGCCCTGACCAGGAATTGAACCTGTGACCTCAGTGCATGGAACTACTCAAGTAACTGAGCCACACTGTCCAAGGCCAGACTGTTCTGGATGGGGAAGGTCTACTGACAATTTGAAAAGAATCAAGTATGTTTTGGGTTACCAGTCCAGATTTTATTTCCAGCTTTAAAGGAAAGCTAAAAAATGAGGTGGCTAATGATGGGGGAGTCAGTAACGGGGAGAAGAGGTATATAGTATTAATTGTTTTCTAAAGAAAGTTCGATTTAAAGGGAATAATTATTCTTTTTTGTTTGTTTTTGTTTGGTTAATCCTCACCCGAGAATATTTTTTCCCACTGATTCTTTTCCTCACCAGAAAACACAAGTTCACATTCACTTACACCAGGGGTGGGGGACCTTTTTTCTGCCAAGGGCCATACAAAATCATCAACTCAAAAGTTAGCCTACTATATTTGGTCAAACATTTAATTAACTCACCTTTAATGCCTTGGCAGAGCCAGACCAAATAATTTCTCGGGCTTTATACAGCCTGTGTGCCAGATGTTCCCCAGCCCTCATTTACACTATAAATGATGGTGTATGCTGAATTTCCAAGGATTCATAAAACTTCCTGTGGCCAGTCCTAGGCCTTCAAGTTAAGAACCTTTTGGGTAAAATTTCAGCTACTGCCAGATTTGAGTTTCCTGAGTGTATATTCAATATACCCAGCTTTATGTATATGAAAGGCCCCTAGAAGGCAAGAACCATCTTTACGTATATTTGAAGTCCCAAGAAGGCAAAAATCATCTTTTTGTCCTTAACTCTGACAAACAGCAATATCCCCAGATGCTTACAGAACTGAACCACATCCCTTTTTTCCTACTTCAGAACTATCAGTGTCTCTTCAATGGTCAACGTATAAAGTTTCGGCCCTTCAGGTGTTTTTTTCCTTCAGTTTTTGCTAAGCCCCTGTAACATGCCAGGCACTGTGAGTACACAGGAGAGTGTTCTTTAGGGTCTGATTTCTTCTTCTCTTTGCATCTGCTGTCACTCTCAAGAGGGGTCCCTCTCCTAACCAACCATTCCAAACCCCTCCTCCCTCATTTAACTGCCACCTGACCTTTCCCACTCCGTTCAAATGCTGTTGTTTTTTAAATCCAATCTTTCTAGGTCCAGCATTTATGGTGTATACTAAGGTTGTTAACTAGGATCCACAGAATTCTATTAACTTCTAATATTTTACTCAGAATTTTTATGTAAAGGTGCATTTTTCTGGAAGGCCAGCCCATGGCTTTCGTAAGATTTTGAGGCTGCAGAGGGTCCTATAATGCAAAAAACGGTAATTATACTATCAGTTAGTCTATGCTGCTTCTTTCGTCTTTCCTATTCCCCAAGGGTAGGAGTTTCATACTCTCTGTGCGCAAAAAGTATTTTGGGAATGTTTGCTGACTGATTTGTGTCTCCCTCAAACCCTTCCTAAAAGAAGACTTAAATACCCCTACAAGGAATGATGACATTCGTTATATTTGATCCACTTTTTTTTTATAAGAACAGAGATACCTTTTAAATCTCCCCATTGCACATATAAGAAAAATTTAAAAACAATCCTCACATACCAATGAACCACACAGCATTGTTCAAAAACCTCAGTCTTAAAACAAAACAAACCCTCTGTCTTAGGTCTACCCACAACTTCAGAGGCACAAAAACCCATAAGGCCTTACTTTCAATTCATTTTGCTTTTCCTTTTCATTTTTTTTTTTCAAACAGGCTGACCTACTTAGTGAAGGTTACGAGGCAACTTGGCACCATTCGCAGTCCATCAAACGCTATCTGCAGAAGCGGGAGGCAGAGTTCCTTAACAAAAGAGCTACTGGAAACCTGGCCATGCCCGGTGCAGGGAGCACCCTGGGCCAATCCATTTTATTTCTCAAAAGATACGGGTCCGAAGGCAGCGACTACTCTCGCCCACTTGTGGTGAGAGGTGTCCCTCCGTCCAAGCACGAGAACCAGCGAGGGGCCCCCAGCGCAGGGGATTCGGGGCTCGGCCCGGGCCCCTCGGGGCCAAGGCCGGCCTCTCCCGCGTCCCCCCGGCCACGGAAGCCCCCCGAGCGCGGCGCCCAGAGGCGGGGGAGCGGCGGCGGCGCCCGACGGAAGCTTTCCCTGCAGTTGAAAGGTCAGAGGCGCCGTGGGAGGCGCCGCAGGAGAGGCTGCCGAGCGGCTCGCGGACTCCCTCCAGCGCCCCGCCGCCCGACCCCGCTCCGGGCTCCGGGCCCCGCGCCCTGGCCACAGCGTCAGCCTCAGCCTTTCCGGAGCCCCGCGCGTTCGGCCCCGCCGCTCCGGCCACTCTCCGCGCTCCAGCCCGGCCCGAGCACCCCGCCGCCGAGCCGCTGAGCGGGCCAGCCCGCCGGCCGAAGCACGCAGGCAGTGGCGGGACTGTGGGGGGGCGTCGGTTGGCAGTTGGGAGAAAGGGACACCGCCCCCACCCCCACCCCCATCCCCATCCCCCCATCCCGGGCGCGGCCGCTTTCTCCGCACCCGGCGCTTACCGGCTTCTCCGCCGAGCTGCGTCCGGCACCGGGCGTGGACCGGACGGTCCCGCTGCGACGGCTCCCGGGGGTCGCCGGGAGGAGGTGGCTTGGAGAAGGATGAGGGGGAGGGTAGAGGAAAGTGGGGGCAGGGAGCTTTCTGGGTTTGTGTATTTGGAGGGGGTCAGAGTTCGTGACCTCTCGGCTCCGCGGTGCGCGCTCCAGCCCGCGCCTGCGCGTGAGTGGTCTGGGGAACAGGCGAGAGGAGGGCGTGACGCTCCCTGGGAGGAGGGATGAAAGGACCCAGCCTCTCCAGACCGACTGCCCCCTAGCGGCGAGGAGGGAGAATGCCCCGCCATTGCCGCGCCTCGGGGGTCAAGGACTTAAAGACCCAAAGGCGGTCCTGAAAGGTTTTGAAACAACTTTTCAGATTTGAGTATTGAGATAACCTCATCAGTTTTAGGCAATTCTGTTTGTAATTTTGGGAAACTGGTCTCTGTTATAGGCTCTCTAACATTTATCAGAGGACTAACAAGTATGGGTAAATCCCAATAAGATATTTTAAATTCCCTTCAATAAAATGACAAACTGGGGTAGAATCCTGTGTAGTAAAGCAAAGTTTTACTTATCAGCTCTTGTAAGTAAATAGGTATAATTGCTAAATGGTGCGTGGATATAATTACTTAGAATGTAAAATTCCTGAAGGCTTATTTTTGTCTGATTTGCTCAGCCGTGTATTCCTAAGCCTATAGGACAGTGCCTGATGGCCAACCAAAAATTGGAAAGAGCTATTGATGGAACATGACATTCCGACAGTAACCGCCTGTGGCACAGAGGTGTGGCAGGAAGAGCTTTCCTGTATGCAACGTACTGTGTGATGGTTTGGATTTTAAGAGAAGGGGTCCTCAAAATTTCTTTAGTATTGACCAGCATAGGAAAGCAGTCATGGATGGATTCAGGCCAGAAACCCAAGTGAGGAAAACAAAGGTGCACTGGGAAGGAGAACATCTCTGTCATTTCCTGCTGGAAATAGGAGCCGGACACAGGATCCAGAAAAAAGGATGCAACTATATCCCTAACAAGTAGAAATATACTTTAGGCTGCATTCTCTAAAAGTTCCCCTTTTCCTTTGGCATCATTTGTTCTATTTGGTGGTTTTAAGGCAGCCCCTCCTCCCTCCACCCCCCAAATCCTTAAGATGGTCTCAAAAGTGGAAGTTAAGAAAGCATATTTACAATGGAGAAGGCAATCTGAGACCTTGTCTCTATTCTCAGTGCATAATATGAGTGCTTATAGTGATGCTTGTGGTTACCCCTTATCATCCAATTAATTCATATAAGCTACAGTAGGTTGACTTATTAAAATGTGGAAGTAGAAGCCATTTGGGAAACATTATTTGTGGGTGGAGAAGAGCATCCCCTAATTATGCTTCAGGAAAACAAGTCAATGTGATTCATCTTTAAATGTGACTCTTAAAAAAATTAAGGTCTAAAGAGAACGAAAGGGAAAATAAAAAATAATAATATAAAAAATTACGATTTAAAACACATCACACCAAAAGTAGATAAATTTATTTTGTATAAATACATATTAACATTATTTACAATGCTAACATTTGATTTATAAAGGATTTACTAGTAGATCTCTATATGGACAATAAGATACAGACTATTATCACTTTAAGTAAAAAGTATTTATAGAAATTCATAAGTCATTTAAAGAAACAATAGCATTTTAAGATTGGTTTTCAAGATGCTATGACCAACTTATATAAAAGAAAAGGCTGCCCTCTTTTAATCTCTCCCCACAGCAGAAAAAAGGAATTTGATATATTGAGGCGTTTTGAAAATTTACTGCCACCTTCATCTTAAAAAGAAAATACTAGAAATTACTTATCTCTTTTCTTAAAGGGGGGAAAAAAGTTGTAAGGAAGATTTTCTCTTAGAAAATAACTTTAAAAGTGGCATAAGCTCCTGAATGATATTTGTGTATTGGGGATACTAAAAAAAGGGGGGGATCCATTTGAAGTAATTTAATTTATCAAACAAATACTGAATATCCAACAATTATAGGCACTGCGCAGATGCTGAGGGGGAATCTCAAATGAATAAGATACAGTTGCTGTTCTCTAGGACAGAATGTGATAAGTACCATAAGAAAGTCTGTTTATGAGCTAAAGGCTATGGGAATATAGAGGAAGGGAAAACTAGATCTAGCCTGAAGAAACAGGAGAGAAGTAGGGAAGAGAAGGACGAGGGATCAACTTCAGATAAGTCTAGGATAAATAGGCAGAAATGGGGGTGGAAGAGAGGGTGAGAAAACAAACTGAACAGAGGAAGGTTGGGTTGGGATTAGCTCGAGTGCATGATACCTGGGGGAAAGTGTTCCATGCCAAGCCACTGGGAAGCCAACGGAAGTGGAAGAGCAGGATGAAAGCAGAGCCATGCTTTAGAAGATGGCTCTGGCAGTGTTTAAAATGGGACCGTGCAAAGAAGGCATTGAAATCAGAAGAAGAGTTATTCCAGTCATTGGAAAGAAGTAACAAGGGTCTGTGCAACAACAGAAGGGCAATGAAGATGGAAAGGATACAAGAGCAACTGCAGAGGGCCCTGTTGAGACTTGGGGTCAGATTCTGGAGAGTACAACACTGTTTTTCCATCACAGAAGAAAATAAACAGATTAAAAGAAAAGTGAGTTTTAGTGATGTAAAGTTTAAAATGCTTAAGGACTCGTGTGTCAGTGTCCAAGTGGTAGTTGCAAATGTGGCCTTGCAGGATGGTGGAATGTGTAGGTCTAAGAAATGAGTTGTAATGTAGGCATTTGGAGAGCTGTGCTTGAGATGTAGATGGCAAGAATCATGTCCTTTGTAGAAGAAACAAATATTAAAACAATATTTAATAAATATTATCTCTTAAAAGACAGAAGGTAGGTATTTTGTGAGAAATTGAGACATTAGACATAGCATCTGCCTTCCAGGAGTGTATAGTACAGTAAGAGAAATAGCATTTACTTCTGGAAATCTCAGTGATTATATCTGACTACACTGCCTCTCAGATTTCAAAAACAGTACAGTGAAAGCACATTCCAGGACATATCAACATATGCTGTGATGACATTTACATTTTAACTAAATTACTTTATACCTGGCTTTCCCTATTTCCCTGGATATATTCTACCAATCAAATATAAAATACACATTTGTCTAACAAAACTACACTTTAAAGTTGTCTTCTTCACTTGTTTCATCACATCTTTATATTAAACAAAGGTTGCTCTGATGATCTCATTTTTAAGAAATGCTATTACATACACAAAGAATCAAGCATTTGATTGAGGAAAGAATTAAGTGTCTTGGGCAAAGGACTCTAGCACACTGGATACATTAGGGAACAGGGCGGGGGGAGGTTGCAGAGAGGTCCCAAAATGTGGGATGATCCCAAAAATAACCATTCTCATTTTCCTAGGACTCTGGTGGGTCCTCTACATTTACAGATGCCACTGGCTGGGGACACAGCCTAAGAATGCAACCATCCCCTGGTTTAAACTGGCATCTCTTGTCTAAGTTACTTCAGAATCCCTTTGGCTTAACTTTATAACTGCTCTTCTTTCTCCTCCTCATGAATAAAAGGAGTGACTTGAAAAGGTTTGATGGAAGCACATGTATCAGTATATTAAATACAGTGTTCTTGGGATCTAGGTACTATTTATACTTTCTCCTCATTTATAGGATGTACCCAATATATCATTCCCACCCCCCTAAAATGTTAGCTATCAAGAGATATTTTCAAAGTAGCTTTACAACAAAACGTATATAATTAGGTTTCTCGGTTAACACTGAATTAGCCAGTTTAAATAAATAATTGATCAGCTTTAGTAAGTTATGAGGATTGATAAGGGGGAAAGGGAATGTAATACTATTCCACATTTAAGACATCTTTATGGGGTTGGGAGTTGTAATCTGGTAGCTTCCTCAAGAGGCGGTATTTTATATTTTGCAAAACCCTCCATGGGGCTAAGCCAATAGCTAGTACAATCATACATGAGTTTCACGTGTAATTAGAAGAATCACTAGAAGTTTGTGCAATGTTTCTTCTATTTAGATTTATAACTGGTTTTGATTCAGCCAACTGTTGAAAGATAGAATAGTCTGCCTGATATTTTCTAAGATTCTGAGGTTTAAACCAAACCTGTAGTCAGAAGGTTGAGAGCTTAAGAGGAGGGGGAAGAACTCTAAATAACTTACTGTTTTGTGAAGTGCTAAGCCCAATGATGCAGAAAGAAATACTTTATAAGGTATAACCTTGGTCTCCAAAAAGGTTATACTAAAAAGTGCAGGGATTTTTAACATGGAAGCCCAATTCATGCTATCTTGATTAAAATTAATGAGCTGCAAAGACTATTAGTTTACCCACAGTAGCAGGACAGGAGAGGTAGCATGTGAGGATTGTGTGTGAGATGGCAACAACGTTTAAAATGATTCCACAGCAAGCAATAGCCAGAGAAAAAGGACAGCCAACTCTACATTTAACAGGGACTCTGGTGCTGCAACAAAAAACATTCAAAAGGCCTCAGAAAGGCACTTGAATTCTCTTGGCAATCATAAATATCACAGTGAATCAGGAAATCCCTTATGCAAAAGAAAGGAAAATTCTTGTGTTGGTTAATGAAATATTCAATGAATAATTTTGCCTTTTAGGATAATTTACGTATAACTTAAGCTCAGTCAATAAATCTTCCTATGAACATCAGGAATGGCTTTAATCAGTGTTCATTGTTCTTCTGCGAATCAATTTTATTTACAAAGTAGTTCCTATGTTAAACAATAAGTGCACCAGAATTATGAATATAAATCTTTCCTAATGAGGTGTACTGATAGTTGGTTAAAGAAATAACGGACTTTTTAAAAATTTACCAGGGAGGACCTAACACAAACTGGTAGTAAAAAACTTTTTTTAAAAAAAGAATACTATACAATTTCAATTAATACTGGCTTAAAATTTGTGCTTTTTTGATATGATAATTCCAGTTCATTTTTAAAAGCACAAAGGAAATGTAACATTCTTTTTAGATACAAATACCACTATTGACTTGGGCTCAGAACACTTACAGTAACAAGGGACATTATGTAATATAATGCTTGCCATATTTTACATTTAAAAAAAACAATACTTATATTTGTGTAGAACTGGTAGCTTTAAAAAAAGTTTAGACTGAATTAATGTAAAGTCTATAGAGTTAATTATTTGTGTTCCTCTGCAAATGAAAACATCTTATTTCCTACGTATATTCGGTTAAATAAAAATCCAGACTCTTCCCCTCTGCTATAATTCCTTTATGATGTAACATTATCTCATGCCAAAAGAGGTACATCATAGTAGAAATGCTTGGGAAAATTTATTAGAATTTCATTTCACAGTTACTGAGGTAGAAGGTGGCCATGTGTTTTCCCATTAAAGATACAAATTCATCTTAGTTTACTGATTTAAAGATACACATTTTTTGTCATAAGCAGTTTTCTAATCATAATTTCTAAACCAAACATTGCATGAAACTTGCTCCTTGATGTGTGTTTTTTCATTTACAAAGACTTACCACTAGTGAGAACATTATTACAATGTAACACTGTAAAACACATTGAGAAAACAGTGTGGACTATGTCACAAACAGTTAATACAGCATACAGTATTAAGATACATTTTCTAATTTCTAAAGAAAAGGTACTTTAGAATTCAGTGTGAATTTCAGAAGTAATTCTGACTTAAGTAAACATCAAAATTTTAATAAATAACATACATGGAAAAAACAAACATTTAAAAAAATTATCTTATACCTAACAAAATAATTTTTTATATTTGATGAAGATTTTGGTTACATTTATCTTGGCAGTGTTCATTTGTATTAAATTTTTATACTGTATTTACTTCGTTCTGATGAAATTCCACCCTTTTGAAATCACAGAAGAGATGAGACCAATACTGCTATAATATTGTGCCTTCCTGAAATGCTTCTATCCACCTATTAAGAGAAATTGGTTAGATTCATAAAATGCAATTATCCGATATGTGTTATGTTAACACCGATAATAGCTGTGCCTATGAATCTGTTACCCTAACAATGTATTTAAGATCTTTCCTATAGCAAACTAGAATTCTGTAAGTATGGAAGTATCCTTTATTTGATAATTTGGCCAAAAATTTGGACTGAAAAATGCATCTCTTATTTCTACGAGGCATGAGAAAGGACCCATTTCATGTGAAAGTTCTATAAAGTCCTGGTGACCCTATTTAATTGGTTTTGGAAGTAGCTATATCTTTAAAGGACTTTATTTCAACCCCCTTTCTGCTTTGAGAAACACAAGCTCTGTCCCTGTCTCCTTCTCCCTTAACCAGAGATTCCTTAGGCATCCATAGTCTAGACCTGCTCTAAAGTTTTCAATGAAAGGGAATCTAACATCTAGTCTGATCAAAAATTTGTATGCAATAGAAAAGTATTTCAGTTTCACAGAACTTTTCAAAATCCTTTAGTCTCAAAGTTTTGACAATACACTAGTGGCAATTATTCAGACACTTGGAGGTAGTGTCTTTGTGCCTCCCTAGTAGTGTAACTGCTTCTGAACTTACTAGGAACATTTTAAATCACTCAGTTTAAATAGTAAAGCAGTATATGACAGATTTAGCTCAAACTTCAAGGATAGAATTTTCAAAATTTTAAATTTTAAATGCAAATGGCATATCTTATACCATAACAAAGGCTTTTAAAAAAGCCAAAAGTTTCCATTGAAGTTAACATACTTTACTATTCTGTAATGTGCAAAAAAGCAACCCATTTGATATTAATACCCTCAAAGAGAAACTCATATTTTAGCCTGTATTAATTCTAAATTATAAGTAAGCTGGTTCTCTTCACCTAACTACATTCAATTCTGTCTTGAAGTGATTTCTTTCTTTTTTTTAAATTATTTTTTCTTTATTTTTTTTCCTCATCACCATTTACCCTCCTACATCTTCTTCCACTTCCATCCCCCAAATTGATAAAGTGATTTCTTTATCAATTTAAAGACACGAGCAAAAGATATATATTCAAAAGCAATAATTACCAGTTTGGTGATGAATATAAATGAAAACGACGAGAAATATCTAACAGAATATTGGGGCAATTACTATTACTAAGAAATTTTTCAAGAAAAAAAACAGCTAAATGACATAATTTTAAAACATTCTTCAGTACACAAAAGGAATTTTTTGGAGTAGCAGCTATATACGGCTAAATATCCTAACACTGGCGGGGGTTAGGGTGGGGGAGGGAGTATTTGTAACACTGTACCTGATTAATTTCCAGGAACATATGTAATCCTGGTACATTAATTCTTACTGCCTTAAAAATGAAAAGCCTTGTTTACTTAAAGCAATCTTAATTGCATGCACTTTTTGAGTCTATTCAGAAAAGATTAGTATCTTTTAGTGAAAACAAAAATGTGTCTTTTGTGAGACCAAAATAAAAAACAAATGAAAGAGGTGAACTGTTTGTTCAGAAAGGGCCTTGATTTCACGAGATATACTTCTCTATATCAAGCAACCTCATGACATCTAAATATTCTTGGAATTTTGAAGAGACTTTCTGTCTTTACTATCTAAAATGATATCTATCTCAAAAAAATTTTTAAAAATGATATCTAATTCCTTCTACTCAGTCACTGGGAACAGCATGGGAGCCTCTTAATGTGTTTGACCTTTCCCCCAAAGAAGTTAGCAAGCAGCTGTTTAAACTCCTGCAGTTCCCCGGTACAATGGAATCATTGGACTGCCAAATCCTGGAATGTTTCAAGAGAAGATTCTTACCCTCACTGAAGGAGAGGTCAAATACCTCAGCATCCCTTCCTCTCAGCAGAGCAGCATCATGCTGCTTCCTCAGAGGTCATGTGTACACAAATATTTTGGACAGAACTACCTATTTTCTTTCCCCCTCTGTCTCCTGAAAATATTCCAGGTACTCTAGCCTGTCTTTAGAAACAATGCTAAAGAGTTTGAATAATATCTTAAACATTTCTTATTTGGATCCTGACTTAAATTCTTAGTTGTCCCTAAAGTAGGTTACCTTACAATAAATAGCTCACACTTCCATGCATAAAAGGAAAATATGTCTAAATTACTTACTTCTGAGCTGAGTGAGCATCATCTGCTTTGAATACATAAAATACCATGTTTTTATGCAGTAATTGAAATACTCTAGACTCTGAATTCTCATCTTTGACTTCAGTGACAGTGAATCCTAATAAAGGTTGACTCTCCATAGCTGCCACGTCCTAAATTAAAAAGACATGGAGGGTGATGGGTTTTAAAATTTAAACAAAATTCAGATTTGTGAACTCTTGCTATATATATATGGCTCTCATTTCATTTGATATCCTATTTAATAAAAATCGACTGAACAGCGGAAAGACCGGTTGCTATGATGCACACTGACCACCAGGGGGAAGATGCTCGACGCAGGAGCTGCCCCGGTGGTCAGTGCACTCCCACAGGGGAAGCGCAGCTCAGCCAGAAGCCAGGATCACAGCTGGCTGGCTGGCTGACTGGCTAGCGAGCGCAGCGGCGGTGGCGGGCACCTCTCTCGCCTGCACTGCAGGTAAGGAGCAGGGGTCCCGGACTGCAAGAGCCCCGGACTGTGAGAGGGATGTCCGCCTGCTAGCTTAGGCCCAATATTCCCAGGGATCAGGCCTAAGCTGGCAGGCGGACATCCCCCGAGGGGTCCCAGACTGCAAGAGGGCACAGGCTGGGCGTAGGGGACCCCCCCCACCAGTGCACAAATCTCGTGCACCAGGCCTCTAGTACACATATATAAAACAATAACTCTAGCAACTTACCCAGTTTTCATTTATTCAACAATATTTACTGAGCTTTACTGAGCCACACCCCCTCCCTTTCCAGGAGCCAGACACTGTGCTAGATAGACAATTTTCAATATGTTCACATGCATTGTTTTTCAGCCACAGGAGTTAGGTAATTATATTACTTTGATTTTATGGATGCAGGAAACATAGCTGAGAAGGGCAGCTGAGAAGGGCAAGCGATTTACACCAGGCCCACTAAGGAAAAGCTTGGTTTTCATAGATGTTGGAATATATGGTGATCAGATAGGAGAAAAAGGCAGTATTAAAGCAAACCGTCAGAAATTGCTTATAACCCAAAGGAAGTTTAGATTATCTACGCTGATGCCTGATCAATGCAATCTGGGGACAGTCAAGGGGATGTCATCCAGCAGAGCTTGGCAGAAAGGATAAACACCTCTGCCTTCAGTGAAGTAGTCACATGACACCAAAAAAACTTACATTTTAATACTATGGAAAATTCCTAATACTTTTAAATAAGAGCTCTCAAGACAAAAACAAAGGCACCGTTTACATTAGAAATAACAACAACATGCCCTGGCCGGGTGGCTCAGTTGGTTGGAGTATCGTCTTCTACACCAAAAAGTTGGGAGTCCATTCTCGGTAGGGCACATACCTAGGTTGCAGGGTCAATCCCCAGTTCAGGATGCAAATGGGAGGCAACTTACTGATGTTTCTCTCTCACATTCATGTCTCTGTCTCTGTCTCTCTCCCTTCCTCTCTAAAATCAATAATATATATATCTACCTATCTATATAAAAGTCTAAGTGACCGTTACGACTGAACAACCAGAAGACCAGAACGACTGGTTGACCAGTCACTATGATGCACACTGACCACCAGAGGGCAGACACTCAACACAGGAGCTGTCCCCTGGTGGTAAGTGCGCTCTCACAGCCAATCTCCCGTGGCCGGCCAACCTCCCATGGTCCCTCCCCCCTGGCTGGTCCCTACTCCCAGCTGGCTGGCCCTGATCCACCCCGATCAGGCCGGCCAACCTCCCATAGTCCCTCCCCCCTGGCCAGCCAACCTCCCACGGTCCCTCCCCCTGGCCAGCGGGCCCCAATTGGCCCAGCCCCAATCAGGACTGGGCAAGATGGCCCTGATCAGCCCTGATCGCCAGCCAGGCCTAGGAACCCCACTTGTGCATGAAAAGTAAATATATATACTAGAGGCCGAAACCAGCTCTCCAACATCCCCCAAGGGGTCCTGGATGGTGAAAGGGCACAGGCCAGGCTGAGGGACCCCATCGGTGCACAATCCAGGCCGGGGAGGGACTCGGGAGGTTGGCCAGCTGGGGAGGGACCAAGTGAGGTCTCCAGGGCGTGTCTGGCCTGTCTTGCTCAGTCCTGATAGGCCAGACCCCAGCAACAAGCTAACCTACCAGTTGGAGCGTCTGCCCCCTGGTGGTCAGTGTACATCATAGTAAGTGGTTGAGCGGCCTTAGCATATCATTAGCATATTACGCTTTGGCTGAATGGCCGATCGGATGACCGGACACTTAGCATATTAGGCTTTTATTATATAGGATATATACATATATACACACACACACACATATATATGTATCTATCTCCTTGGTGAAGATTATAACAAAATTAAGGTAACAACATCTCCCCCTCCAGAACCAAAGCAAAACGAGTAACATAAAACAGATTAAAGAAATATTGTAACTATTTCCAGTTGGCATTATAAAACACGATACCCAAATTACACATATTTAGATTTCAGATCTTACCTCACTTGCAGCATATGTATATAGCACTTTATTTTTTATAACAAACCAAAAGTGTTTCCAAGGTTTTTTATGGCCCTTTGACCTGTACAAATAGCCACTCATGGAAGAATCTTCTGTATTTGCTGATACCTAGATAAGCAAATCCCATATACAGTTATATGGTGTTCAAACAAAAAATTTAAAATAACAAAATTGCTTTTGATCATTGGTTCTGAAAGCAATAACCATAATAATAATATTTCAAAATTAAAGTTTATTTTCAAAGTCTGCTATTATCCACTGATAATGAATTACCACATGCATAAAAAAACCTTTTAGAAGCAGTCCTAGAATTCTACCTGTTTTGTATGTATGTTTTTCTTTGCAGGTTTGTCTGTTTTTTCTGGTTTCCAGAAGAAAAATAATTCCAAAGGTCAAAAAGCCTTTTTTAAAACTGCATTTTGGGGCCTGTGTATGTTGTTTATTGATTTTCTTATTCTGGTAATCAGAGAAAATTACTTAAAACTTAAACTCTGTCCCTGAAATAACTAAAAATTTGTACCAACAGAAAAGTAAATAGAGAATTCTATTAATGGTGATTTTAAGGATCAGTTTCTACTCCCCAAATTTTGGTCTGGAAGAAAAGAAGTTTGTTTTACTTCATAAAAGGCTGAAAATGTTTTAATCTCTAGATAAAATATAGTAAGCTTTTATAGTGATTATAATTTGGCAGTTGAGACTTTTCTATCTTTTTTTAACACAGGAACAATAGCCAAGTTTATGAATTGCCTAATTAGTGGTGTGGTGCACAGACCCTGAAGTGACTCCCCATGACCTCTGCCTCTGAAAATCACACTGTTGCACATTCTCCTCCCCTTACATGTGGGCAGGACCTGGGACTTGCTCCTCACCTACAGTATATGGCAGCCGTGGGCAAACTACGGCCCGCGGGCCGGATCCGGCCCGTTTGAAATGAATAAAACTAAAAAAAAAAAAAAAAAGACCGTACCCTTTTATGTAATGATGTTTACTTTGAATTTATATTAGTTCACACAAACACTCCATCCATGCTTTTGTTCCGGCGCTCCGGTCCAGTTTAAGAACCCATTGTGGCCCTCGAGTCAAAAAGTTTGCCCACCCCTGGTATATGGTGAAGCTGATGGGATGTCACTCCTCTGATTATGACATTATATTAGACTCAATCTTACTAGTAGACAGCTCTGTCTCCCATTCTGGCTTTGAAGAAACAGGCAACCATGGTGGGAGGCCCGTGTGGCAAGGAGTTGAGGACAACCTCTAGGAAAAGCAAATAAGAAGCCAAGGCCCTCAGTCTTACAACTGCAAGGAAATGAATTCTGCCAATAGCCTGAGTGAGGATGGAAGTAAACCCTTCCCTAGTCCGTCAACAATAGCCAACACTATGGTTGCGGCCCTACAGGGATCCCAGCTAAGCTATCCCTGGGCTCTTGAGATAATAAATGTGTGTTGTTTTCACATAGTAACTAAGCAAGAGAATAAAATTTAAAACTCTACTGGCCACAAAACTAGCACAGGTAGAACCAATTAATAAACTAATTAAAGGGGGGGTGGCCAGAAAGGCGGTGCTTCTGATCTCTGACACTGGCTGACTGAACACTTGAATTTGAGGAACTGGGATTGGATACCAGTGATGCTTGTGGATTATGCCACTGCCAGGTCTAACTGTACTAGTATATGCTATTATCACCTTTTAAATATTTCTTTTAAGTTTAAAGGAATGACAACCTATTATTAGTGATTATCAGCTGTATATAACTAACCAATGCCTACAAATATTCTGCATATTCTTCCCTCTAGTTAGGGGTCTCCTCAAAGTAATTTTAAAAATTCATGCCCTAGCTGGTTTGGCTCAGTGGATCGAGCATCGGCCTGCAGACTGAAAGGTCCGGGGTTTGATTCTGGTCAAGGGCACATACCCAGGTTGCGGGCTCCATCCCCAGTAGGGGGCATGCAGGAGGCAGTCAATTAATGATCCTCTCTTATCATTGATGTTTCTATCTCTCTCTACCTCTCCCTTCCTCTCTGAAATCAATAAAAATATATTAAAAATAAAAAATGAGAGCAAACTATTTTTAAAAAATTCACATGCGCCCAAGTTATCTTTACTTTCTATCATTGCTATAAAATATTCTGCAAACTTTTTGACAGCCATTTTCTAAATGACTCAGGTCATTGGGAGACTAAGCAAGATAGTGAGGCATCAGCCACACCTCATCACCAGTATTAAAATGCATGTCTTAATAGTTGTGGGAAATGACATCTTCCTTTATGAATGAGAAACAGTCTATTATATGTATGAATAATTCAGCCTCTATCAGGTTGCAAGTTTAATGGAGACACTTACTTCTTTGAGAGCCGCTGGGATTTTTTTCTGTTTCCTCCCTGATGGAATACTCTGTAAGACTGATGATAAGGCACTTGAAGATTTGTGATTTCCGGGAGATCCAATCTTAGGAGAGTGCTGGTGATCTAAAAGAAATCAAGCACACTTATACACCAGTGGTAACCATTCTGCAATTCAATTTAATTCAGATCAATAAACATTATTGCATAAAATTTCCGTGGAAGAATACTTAAGAAACTGGTGGTACTGACGGCCCTGGCAACAGAAGATAGATGGCCAGAAGTTGAGTGGGAGGAAGACTTTCCACTGTCTATGATTTTATACTTTTTCAACACTAAACCATGTGAAAGGATTGCCCTTTTGTGCCTTTAGAATTGTGGAACATGTCATTGTACTACCAACTTAAAAACATTTTTTAAAACACTTCACTCCTGACTTAAAAACACAAATCTAACTTCATTTAGTATCTAGATACATGACCAAATAATATTACAATGAACAAAGTGCTAGAAAAGGGGCTACAAGCCCAGCCGGCATGGCTCAGTGGTTGAGCATCGACCTATGAACCAGGAGGTCACGGGTCGATTCCTAGTCAGGGCATATGTCCAGGTTGCAGGCTCCATCCTGAGTGTGGGCTTGCAGGAAGCAGTCAATCAATGATTCTCTCTCATCATTGATGTTTCTATTTCTCTCTCCCTCTCCCTTCCTCTCTCAAATCAATGAAAACATTTAAAAAATAATTTAAAAAAATAAAAGGGGCTACGAGACATGATGAGCAAGCAATTAATTTTGACTGCACAGGTTCAGGAAAAACTGAGAAGAGGATGAGATGTTTGAGTTGGTATACCTAAGTTTGCCAAGCAAAGAAGAGGAGGAGGAATGCTTTATGAAGAGAGGTCAGCATAAGCAAAAAGCAGAGAGAGATGAAATCAGATCATCTACTTGGAGAATAATGAGGCTGGAAATAAAAGGCTGGTTCTAAGGAACCTGGACTGCTGCTGTTTAGGCGGTGGGAAATGAAAGACCTTTTAGGCTGGAGAGTGACATGAGCAGACTGATGACATGAGCAGACTGAACTGAGAAAAATAAATCTGGCAGTGGAAAGGAAGACGGATTTGTAGCAAGAAAATCTGTTAGGAAATTACTGCAGTAGTCCAGATGAAAGATAATGAAGGCCTTATTATGAGATGAAGAAATCAAGAGAAAGACAAAGATAAACTTGACAAGATTTACTGACCAAATGAGTCTTAATGATGGGGGAGAAAGGTTCAAAAGAATGTATTTTGAACGGTTCCAGCCAATACTATATACCCAGAGAGAACACATGGAGGAACACACGGCAAAGGAATAATTAGATGGATATGTCTTCTTGGGAAAAATGTACACAGACAAATCACATGTCATCTAGTTTCATTCAACTATTCTCCTATGCTGATGAAAAGCTACTCTTCATGAAAATGAAAATAATCTTTTAAAAATTTAGAGCCTAAATGTTTCAGGAATTTAAAGGTCTCTTCCTAAAACATAGACCTGAACAGTCCTGCTTAACTGCAGGGATGGATTACCTGGGAATGAGTAGGCAGACATGATATATCATTTCATATTTAGTGAAAAGCTACACATTTATATTACAGTAACACCTCACTAAATCAATCCAAGTGATTCAAATTAGGCTATCAAAGTGACACCCAGTATACTTCCATAAAGAATTACTTTACAGATATATAAAAATGATTTGTAATGAGCACAGTTGTGAAACTAGAAACTTCAAAATTACTTGAGAGTTAAAGTTCCCTTGTAACTGTTTTAAGCATTTCATCCTATAATTACATTTCTACAATTAGTATTCTAAGCAAAACTGTGATCAGAGTAAGAATAAACTTCAGTCCAACCTCTCTTGAAATATTACTAAATATGAGTTAAGAGAGCTGAACTAAGAAAAGCAAAATACTCAATATTTTGAGATGAGTATCACCAAATCATATTGCTAATGTGATTCTTCTAAGATGAGTCTTTCAGAAGTCCATTTGAAAGCATCTGGGAATTAAAGGAACTTAACAGTCTTTACTTATATATTACCTAATTTCTGCAGTTCTTGAAAACAATGTTCACATACTCTTGCTGGTTGATTTTTCAGGTAATCTAAGCCACACTTATTTGATGAACAAGCTTGGCACACAATCTGAAAACACATTGGAATTATTTAATTTAAAATAATCTTTGTATCCAAACTATCTGGTATGTTACAATTTATAGTGCTGCCTACTTTTCAAAACCATTTTTACAACCAGTCATTGATTCTCAATACAATTCTACGGACTTCAGGCATGTAATGAACTCACACACAATACCACACTGGAAGATACAGAGGCCTCAGATGATTACTGAATGTTTACTGAAAAAAAAAATATACTAAAGAGTTAATGTGTGCAAAATGTTTGAACAGCACCTGGTGCACAGTCCTGTGTTAGCTATATTATCTTCATTATCACTGCTGTCATTGTTATCATCACTGCTATAACCATGACCACCTCTGACCATCTCTCCCACTGTCTGCCCCTATATTAAATGCTCTCTAAATAAGACCTCATTTAACCTTTACAATTACTCGCTGATGTCATTGTTACTATGCTCAGTTTACTAATGAGGTCATGAAGACTTAGAAACATCACTCGTGATAATTTCAACGCTGAAAGTTCCCCCTATAAATTCAGCAGGTCCTTGAATAATGTCATTTCATTATAACATTTATGTGACCACACAGGAACTTAATTCTGGCTTATATCATTTAGCTTCCAGTAAAACTGGTCTCATTGTTAAGTCCTTGCACTTACTGGTAAAGTCACAGAACCTATCAAGATGTTAAGTGAGGACTTACTATAATTAGTATCCAGATAAATGTAGTTTAAGTAATTATCTGTGAACTAGAGGCCTGGTGCATGGATTCGTGCACAGGTGGGGTCCCTCGGCCTGGCCTACGATGATCGGGCTGAAACCGGCTCTCTGACATCCCCTGAGGGGTCCCAGATTGCGAGAGGGCAGTTCTCAGGTGATGCACCCTTGAATCAGGCTCCCTCCTCTCTGGTTCTGGGTGCGTCACCTGAAAACCACAGCTGCCAAGTCACTGCAGCTTGGCAGCTCCTGCGTTGAGTGTCTGCCCCCTGGTGGTCACACACACACACACACACACACACACACACACATACATACATGTGAGGGTCTATTTAATTGTGAATTTGTAAGTTTTTTTAAAATGAAAATTGTCTACTACTGACATTCTAAAGTAACCTTGAGGTAGGAGGGAATAAGTTCCCTAACAATATTGCCCCATGTCTAAATATTTAGAGAAAATACCACCTGTGATTCAGTATATTTTCTTCTCTCCTACAATGGTTTACAAGGGGACATATGCTTCCTCACTATATACAGCCTGGAGCTATTAAAAATCACACTGGAGATGGGTGTTATCCTCTCCCACCTTTCCGCAGGCCCGGCAGTGATGTCGTCTCCAGGTCAGAGTAAATTCACTTGTGCAGATCATACACATTGTGGCTCTGGTATCAGGAATCCAGATAGGAGCCTTTGATCCAAGGGGACAAACTTCCTCTTTATTTTCTGAGTCTGCCTGTGGAAGAACGACGCCTGATTATCTCACGCATGTGGACTACTACAGAATGGAGCCTTGTCTTTAGTAGTGGCGATCACAATGCTGATGGTATCAATTAGGGACATGGGATGAAATATGAGCTATCATATTTTTCATTTTCTCAGGGTATTAAGATTAGCTACATTCTAACAATCCTCTAATGCAAAATTAATTTTAAAACATGCCTGTGGTAGTGTGATGACAGCTGATTAGTTCCCTTAAACTATGCTGTATTTTCTAAATTTTATACAATGAGGTTTTATAACTAGAAAAAAATATGACTATGCTACATGCTATAGACTTGCAGTGAGACATTAACAGGATAAAATTTTAGCTCTGAAATCACATACACACCTCCAATCCTTCTGTGAAACACATGTTGCCTTTCTAAACCCCTGGGAACAGTTTTTTTAAGATAAAAAGTAAAATACATTAAAAAAAAGGAGGAGGAGGAAAAGATAATACCTCATCAAGACTCCTACTAGGGCAGAATGTGATTCTTTTCTTGGCATACTCTTCTATTGACCTGGAAATCGCTTCTAGCCATTCATCCCTTTCTGTGGCAGAACTGTTGGGGGCAAAAGAAGGTTCCATCAACCAGATGTCAGCTTTTATCCTTTGCCTTTTTCATACTTCTTTTCCTTCTCCCATGGCAACAGATTCCACCATCCTCAACAATGCTGGTCCCAGGCAGCAACTCAGAGGTTTGTGTGCACAAATAATCAGAGCAGGCATGAGAACACAGGGCATTTGAGCAAACACAATGCTGTCTTCCTTTCCAAGAGTACTGCTTTATACTGAATGGCTTTTGAAGTCTCCTAACTTTGGAAGTATTTTTTGTTTGGCTTATAGGCTAGTCACACAATTCAGAATTGTGATGATTATTTATATAACCAAGAAGTTTCCTCAGGTCTAATACTAGAATTTAAAAACATTCCAAGGAATCAAGTTTCAAACTCAAATTTATACCATAGAATACTCATATTTTCAGTTTAGTAACTACTACTAAAGTTTTCTAGGAAGGGCAGTGGGTTAAGGAAACATATTTTAGTTATCATAAACAGATATTTAAGGAGTGGTGAATAGGGGAAATAGCTTGTCATTGTTAGGGCGCCTCTACCTGTATTCAGCTCACCATGTTTCCTGTCCCTACCTTCAGTTCATCTGGAGCTATGATTCAATTCTAGATAGAAATGGGCCAAATAGGAGGAAAGCCTATTCAGAAAAAGGCATTCTTGTTTTGCTTTTGTACCCCTCATCCCTCCAAATGATGGTAATTTCAGATTATTACTGGTATCAGCACATTTTGTTTTGCATACCCAAGAGTGACATACTTTCAGGAGTGTGTGTGAAGAGACAATAAGAGAATTTAATAAGTTTAAAACTCTATCATAGTAAAATAAAATCCATCATAATAATGGGAATGTGACTGGGTAAGACAGTGTGTATTTTTCTTAGAGAGACATTCTAGATAATTTAGGAGTAAAATGACTTGACATCTACAATTTGTTTTAAAATACTTTAGAAAATAGGAAAATATGTGGCAGAATCTTCTTGGGTAATTTTTGGGTCTCGGTGATGAATATGCAGTTCCATTATATTGTTCACTCTAATTTTAAGTACATTTCAACTTTTACTCAAAATACTTTATTAATAAAAGTTTGTATAGCCCTAACCGGTTTGGCTCAGTGGATAGAGCGTCAGCCTGCGGACTCAAGGGTCCCAGGTTCGATTCCGGTGAAGGGCATGTACCTTGGTTGTGGGCACATCCCCAGTGGGGGGTGTGCAGGAGGCAGCTGATCGATGTTTCTCTCTCATCGATGTTTCTAACTCTCTATCTCTCTCCCTTCCTCTCTGTAAAAAAAATAAAAAAAAAAAAATAAAAAATAAAATAAAATAAAATAAAATAAAATAAAATAAAATAAAATATATACATTTTTAAAAAGTTTGTATAAAAAGTAGAAGAAAGTTATGTGTCACACTGAGTAAGACATTGAAAACCTGTGTATGGTTATGGTCTTTGAATTCTTAAATTATATTTTAAAAAATAAAAAGTCTATAAAATAAGAGTACAAATAGGCATATCATATTTTGTTGTATTTCAATCAACTCAGAGCAGGTCAAGGACATACCAAAAAACCACTAGTCTTCCCCACAATAATCATTCTTAGAAATGTACTTTCTTACTAAATAACTTCAGTGTCATTTATAATTTGCATTCAGATGGCTATTAAAAGGTAAAAATCCAATTACAAATAAAAATTTTAAATTAGTAAGTTTCTCAAATTTTTATTATATAACAATAACAAAATAAAATAGAAACCACACCATCTCTCCAAACAAACAAACAAACAAAAACACTTGCCTTTGCATTAGCTGGTTTGGCTCAGTGGATAGAGCATCGGCCTGCAGACTGAAGGGTCCCGGGTTCAATTCTGGTCTAGGGCACATGCCCAGGTTGCAGGCTTGATCCCCAGTAGGGGGCATGCAGGAGGCAGCAGATCAATGATTCTCATCATTGATGTTTCTCTCTCTCTCACTCTCTCTCTCTCTCTCTCTCTAAAATACACACACACACACAAAAACTGCCTCAGTTACCTCTACTATTCTACAACTAGCTGACATTTATTTAACTCAGTTACCTCTACTATTCTACAACTAGCTGACATTTATTTAAGTTACTACATGTCAGTCAACTGTGTTAAATGCTTTGCAATTGTCATCATATCTTTTCCTCAAAGCTACCCCATGAAATATATATTGGGTCTTTTTTTTTTTTAAATATATATTTTATTGACTTTGCACAGAGAGGAAGGAAGAGGGATAGAGAGTCAGAAACATCGATGAGAGAGAAACATCGATCAGCTGCCTCCTGCACACCCCCCACTGGGGATGTGCCCACAACCAAGGCACATGCCCTTGACTGGAATCGAACCTGGGACCCTTCTGTCCGCAGGCCGACGCTCTATCCACTGAGCCAAACCGGTTCCGCAAAATATATATTGGGTCTTACCCATACCCTCATCCCAACATCACCACTCACCATCACCATTTACAGATAAGGAATCTGAGGATTCGAAATGTTAGATAATTTGCTTTAGATAACAGACTATACTAAATAGGTTGGTATCAGACCAAGTGTGACTAAGGGTTGAACCCTTCACCACAATGTCATCTCTGGCCTCTATTCGTGTTCTCTGAAGAACTATACTATAAAAACATACGCTCAGGCTTCCAAGCAAACTTTCATAAAATATTCCCACCCCTCCCTTCCTCTCTCCCTCCCCACTGTTTCACTGGAAGAGGTAACAGAAAGCAGAGAGGCAGATGGCTAATTTGAGAATTGCCGTCTGATTTTTCTGGAGCTCTGAGAGCATGTGGAATGTGATTTGACTGTAAATCGTATCACATATGCTGTCCTCTCTGGTGTGGGTTTCTGCCAGAACAATGTTTACCAGCTCTTGATAACACATTTCTCATAGACCACACACATTTGCTGCAGCACTAAGTGCAGACATTCTAGCTCTCCTTTTGCAACATGGTTAGCAAAAGAATCAGCATTTTCCTCGGATCAAAATACAGTTAAGTTTGGTACTGGAATGGGCACATTACCAGAAAGCAAATTTATATTTATTAAGTACAATTTTCCCATTGATTGAGATGGAAGTTCCAAGGGGAAAAACGCTCCAATAGAAGGGTTTGCTGATGAGTTAGGCCTTGTTACACCATTTATTACTTGTGGTAACTAGACATGCTACTCTAAGGTCCAAAGGCCATATTGCTTCAATTGAATTCATCTGAGTAACATTTACTGGAAACTTACTAAGAGTCAGCTACTAGGCCATAAACTGAGTACAAGAATATACCTCACTTATAAGGGCTTCCATGTAATTGAGGTGAGACACAGAATCAAGTAATTACTATATGATATAATAAATGCAAGGTAGATAAAGAACACAGAAGTAGTAAATTACTTTCTTTTTTTAAAAAAATATGTTTTATTGATTTTTTACAGAGAGGAAGGGAGAGGGGTAGAGAGTTAGAAACATCGATGAGAGAGAAACATCGATCAGCTGCCTCCTGCACACCCGCTACTGGGGATGTGCCCACAACCAAGGTACATGCCCTTGACTGGAATCGAACCTGGGACCCTTGAGTCCGCAGGCTGACGCTCTATCCACTGAGCCAAACCAGTCAGGGCTAAATTACTTTCTGTAGGGAAGACTTTGCAGAGGTGATGACTAAGATAGGCTGGAAAGAATTCTAGGAGTTTGACAAGGAACTCTTTAGTCTCTCTGTGCACCTTCATTCGGTCTCCTGGCTTTGGTTCTCATCTCTAAGTTGATGATTCCCAAATATATGTATCTAGTCCAGCTTCCTTCTGATATTCAGATACTTACATAAACTGTCTCCTTGATGGCTCCATTTCGATGATTCATAGGCACCTCACATTCAATGTGTACATCTGAAACTAAATTCCTGATCTCTCCCCCAAAGCTGCTCCTCTCTGTATTCCGTCGCAGTGAACGGCACCACTGCCCAATACAATGGACAATCTGGAGCTCACGCTCACTCTCTTTCTCATCCTTTATGTCCAATTAGCCATCTCCTTTAGTTCCCCTCCCAAGCCATTCTCCACACAGCAACCAGACACTCCTTTTAAAATGCCAGTCTGATCACATCATTCCTTTATATAAACCTTTCAGTGGCTTCCTGTGGCTCTTAGGCTAAAGACCCAAGTCCACAAGATGGTTCTGTGAAACCTCCCTCCCTCTCTCCAGGCTTATCTTGGGTCTCTCTCATTCTCTATGTTCACGCCACACTGGCCTTTCAGTTCTTTGAATATGCCACGCTCCTTTCCACCTTAGTACGCACTGTTCCTAATGACCGGGAGCCTCTTCCTTTCCTCTTGGCCTAGCTATCCAACTCCCATTTATCCTTCATAATGAAATAGACACAGCAGGTCTTTAGGGAAGCTAACCCTGACTGCTCATTCTCTGCCAAATCTAGTTCAAGGTCCCTTGTTTTACAGACTCATATCTCCTAGTAGTCTTCATGTGTACTACTTAATCACAATAATTACTGATTGTGTTAATATTTGTGAGTCTTCCCTAATGGACTATAAGCTTCAGGAGAGAAGGGCCATTTTAATTCTCCACTGTATCCCCAATGCCTGGCTCAAGGCAGAGACTCATATGATTTATTGAACAAAGTGATGAGTTTCAGGAGGAGGCAGCCTTTGCAAGGCAGAAGGATGTGAAGTAGGCTGGTGTGCATGGGGAACCATAAGCAGATCCATGCTGATGAGCATGCCAGGCTTTCATGGGGGTGGGTATAGGAAGGATGAATGGAGATTAGGCTGGTGAGGAAGACAAGAACCAGATCACAAGAGACCTTCTTAATCCCCTTTTACATGTTATACAGTACCTGCCTCATTGTGGTTGGGGTATTCAGAAGGAGAGCATGGCATTCACTATGTGTTAGTTTCCCTTCCCCCATACCACCTTAATCCTATCTTGGAGACTTATTTTTCACCACTGTCAAGAACTTCCCACTTTTATCATTTTTCCTGCATATCCCACATTCAATCCATTAACAATTCTATTGGCTATACCTGCTTCTGACCAATTCTTACCACTCTAGTCCAAGACACTGTCATCTACAGCCTCTTATCTGGTCTTCCAACTTCTACTCTAGTCTCCAGTGGTCTATCCTCTACAAAGTGGCCAGTGTGCTCTTTTAAAAATGTAAATTAAACCAGATCAATTTTTAGCGTAAAACCCTCAGATGGTTTTCCATCATATTGAAAAATCCAATGCCCTTCCTAAAGTCTAGGAGGCCAATCTGGGAAAACATGGACATTCAGATATTTACTGATAGAAAACCAAAGAAAGATTTACCATCATTTCCTGAATTGTTTAATCTTTAATAAAATAGAATTCTGTTTTTACCAAAGCACATTTTTATTATAAAACTTAAGTACAATTAAAATTTTGAGTTTCCTATGGGCATTTCCTCTTTGGATTTTTGAAAATTACTTTCTTGATTTTAAGAACCAAGCTTAAGTATTTGCAAGGAGTCTGATATACTGGGACTTGATGTTCTTTGCACTTTTGCTCAAACTCAAAAAAAAGGAGAGAAGGAGGGAGGGAGGGAGGGAGG